GAAGAGAGGAGTTACAAAACCACCAGAAAACAAGCAACAATATGTCAGTAGTAAGTCCTTACTTACCAGTAATAACACAATGTAAATGAATTTGGTTCTCTAATTGAGAAAACCAATGGGTCAAGGAACTAGAAAAGCAAGAGCAAACCAAAGCTGAAAGTAGTAGAAGGAAAGAAATAATAAAGATCAGGGCAGAAGTGAAAGAAGTTGAGACAAAACAAAATTCAGGAAATCAGTGAAACAAGAAGTTGAATTTTTGAAAAGATAAAGTCAACAAACCTCTTAGACTAAGAAAAAAGGAGAGAAGATGCAAATATATCAGATTAGAAATGAAAAAGGAGACATCACAACTGAGACTATGGAAGTACAAAGAATCATAAGAGAATATTATGAACAGCCATATGCCAACTAATTGGAAAACTTACAATAAATGGGTAAATTCCTGGACACTTAAAACCTACCGAGATTGAACATTAACAAACCAATAATGAGTAACTAGATCAAAGCCGTAAAAAGTCTCCCATCAAAGAAAAACCCAGTACCTGATGGCTTAAAGAACTAATACCAATTCTACTCAAATTCTTCAAAAGATTAAAGAGGAATAGGTACTTCCAGACTTATTCTCTGAGGCTAGCATTACCCTGATACCAAAACAAGATGACACAGCAAGAAAAGAAAACTATATACAGCTGGACATGGTGGCTCATGCTTATAATCTCAACACTTTGGGAGGCAGAAGCAAGAGGATTGCTTGAGCCCAGGAGTACGAGACCAGCCTGGACAACTTGATGAGACCTTGTCTCTACAGTAAATCAAAAAATTAGCCAGGTGTGGTCGGGTACACCTGTGGTTCCAGCTACTTGGAAGGCTGAGGTGGAAGAATCATCTGAGCCCAGCAGTTGAGGCTGCGGTGGCTGTGAGCATGCCACTGCACTTCATCCTGGGTGACAGAGTGAGATTCCTACTCAAAAAAAAAAAAGAAAAAAATTACAGACTAATATCCCCAATGAACATAGATGCAGAAACCATCAACAAAATTCTAGCAAATTGAATTCAGCAACACATTAAAAAGATCATTCACCATGATCAAGTGGATTCATCCCAGGGATGCAAGGATGGCTCAACATATGCAAATTAATAAACTTGATACATCACATGAAGAGAAGCAAGAATAAAATCCATATGGTCTTTTTTTTTTTTTTTGAGTTGGAGTCTCATTCTGTTACCCAGGCTGGAGTGCAGTAGCACGCTCACAGCCATTGCAGCCTCAACCTGCTGGACTCAGGTGATCCTTCCTCCTCAGCCTTCCAAGTAGCTGGAACTACAGGTATGCACCACTACGTCTGGCTAATCTTTTGATTTATTATAGAGATGAGGTCTTGCCAAGTTGCTTAGGCTGGTCTTGAACTCATGGACTCAGGCAATCCTCTCACCTTGGCCTCCCAAAGTGCTGGGATTATAGGTGTGAGGCACCATGCCTGGCCATATGGTCATTTTAATAGATGCTGAGAGTACACTCAATAAAATTCAGCATCTCTTTATGATAAAAACTATCAATAGGCCAGGTACGGTGGCTCACACCTATAATCCCAATACTTTGGGAGGCTGAGGAGAGAGGATCGCTTGAATCCAGAAGTTTGAGACCAGGCTGGGCAACAACATAATGAGACCTCATCTCTATGAAAAAAAAACAAAACATGATGCTGTGCACCTGTAGTCCCAGCTACTTAGGAGGCTGAGGTGGAAGGATTACTTAAGCCCAGGAGGTTGAGGCTGCTGTGAGTCATGATTATGCCACTGAATTCCATCCTTGGCAACAGAATGAGACCCCAACTCAATACAATACAAAACAAAAAAGCCCCATCAACAAACTGTATAGAAAGAGCATACCTTGAAATAATAAAGGTCATGTATGACAAATCCACAGCTAACATCATACTGAATAAGGAAAAATTTAAAAAGCCTTTTCTCTAAGATCTGGAACAATACAAGGATGTCTACTTTCACCACTTTTATTCAACATAAATAAAGTCCTGCTCAGAGCAATTAGTTAAGAGAAGAGAAAGAAAAAAAGGGACATTCATATTGGAAAGGAAGAAGTCAAATTAGCTTTGTTTGCAGACAACATGATCTTGTAAATATTCTACCAGAAAGTTGTTATAGCTGATAAAAGAATTTAGTAAAGTTGCAGGATACAAAATCAGCATACGAAAATCAGTAGCTTTTTTTGAGTTGGAGTCTCACTCTGTTGCCCAAAGTGCAGTGGCACAATCACGGTCACTGTAACCTCAACCTGCCGGGCTCAGGCTATCGTTCTTTCTCAGCCTTCCAAATAGCTGGAACTATAGGCATGTGCCATCACATCTGCTAATTTAAAAAATTTATTGTAGAGAATTGGTCTTGCCATGTTGCTCAGGCTGATCTTGAACCCTTGAGCTTAGGCAATCCTCTTGCCTTGGCTTCCCAACGTGCTGGGTTTACAGGCATGAGCCACCACGCCCAGCTTAAAGGGGAATGTTTAAAAGCATTCAACTTCGAGTAGCCCTTGGCCATTGCTTTCCTAAACTCTGGTGTTGGCCATGCACTCTTTGGGCTATGGCCAGTGCCATGTTTCCAAAGCTTTTGCTCCCTCTCCTACCTTGGAGAGGTGAATCTCCTCTCTCTTTCTCATTTACTTTCTAAATGAGAAGCAAGATTCTTATTTCTAAATGAGAAGCAAGAGGATTGTATTTTCTAATCTGTATTAGAAAATACAATCTGTATTTTCTTTATTACAGAAAAAAACTGTATTTTCTAATCTAAACAAAAACAAAGACAAAAATCAGTAGCTTTTATATATAACATCAGCAAACTCTGCAAAAGATAATCAAGAAAGCATTCTCATTAACAGTAGCTACAAAGAATGTAAAATACATTGGAGTAAATTTAACCAAAGGTATGAAAGATCTATACAAGGAAAACTATAAAACACTGGTGAGAGAAATTGAAGAGGACACAAAAAAGTGGAGAGATATTTTATGTTCTTGAATTAAAAGAATTGCTATTGTTAAAATGACAATACTACCAAAGCAATTGCAGATTCATTGCAATCCCTACATAAATGCCAGTGACATTATTCACATACACAAAAAAGAAGAATCCTAAAATTTATTGTTATTGGTGGAATCTTTAGGATTTTCTACATGTAAGACCATGTGATTGGGCATGGAGGCTCACACCTGTAATCTTAGCACTTTGAGACACTGAGGCAGGAGTATTACATGAGCCCAGGAGTTCAAGATCAGAATAGACAACATAGTGGGACCTCATCTCTACAAAAAAATAAAAACAGCCAGGTGTGATGGCACTTGCTTGTAGTCCCAGCTCTATGGGAGGCTGAGGTGGAAGGATTGCTTGAGTCCAGGAGTTTTGAGGCTATGGTGAACTGTGATTGTGCCACTGTACTCCAGCCTAGGTGACAGAGTGAGATCCCCACTCAAAAAAACAAAAACTATGTAATCTTTGAACAGAGATAATTTCATTTCTTCCTTTCTCATTTGGATGAATTTTACTTCTTTTTTCTTGCCTAATTTTCCTGGCTAGAACTTCCAGTGCTATGTTGGATAAAAATGGTAAAAGCAGGCTTTCTATCTTGTTCCTGATTGTAGAGAAAACATTTTCAGTCTTTGAATATGATGTTAGCCATGGGTTCTTCATGTGTGACCTTAATTGTATTGAGGAAATTTCTTTCTATTCCTAATTTATTGGGTGTTTTTTTATCATAAAGAGTGTTGAATTTTGTCAAATGCTTTTTCTGCCTCAATTGAGATGATCCTGTGATTTTTTTCTTCTATTAATTCAAATCTTTTTCCTTTTCATCCTCCCCCCTTTTTAGTGGCCTATAAATGGCTAGTTTAGTCTATATTCTGAATCAACTGAAAGTAAATGATGATACAGGTGGTGGATTTGTTCTAGCAACGAATGAGTAGCTAGTTGTAGTTTATTCTTATTAGCTAACTTGAGATTTTTTCCATCTGCAACAATTAGTTTTTGTACCCTACTTGTGGATTCTTAAAATTTTTGCATATATTTGATATTTAGACTGTTTATGAGATGAAGAAAATGTCTTTGTACTTAAGTTGCCTCTCTTCCAATTAAACCATAACACAGGAATCCTATATTCAAAAGAAGTTTCTTCATGATTTAACATTGGAAATTGGTCTTGGTAAAAATTGTGTTCTGCAGTGGAGGGTTCCAATGCAATGGAGTAAAGTGAAAATAATTTTTTTTTTTTTAGTTGGAGTCTCAATCTGTCACCCAGGCTGGAGTGCAGTGCCACATCCACTGCAGCCTTGACCTGCTGGACTCAGGCGATCCTTCTGCCTCAGCCTTCCAAGTAGCTGGAACCATAGTTGTGTATCCCCACACCTGGATAATTTTTTTAAAAAAGTTTTTGTAGAGAAGAGGTCTTTCTAGGTTGCCCAGGGTGGTTTTGAACCCTTGGGCTCAGGCAACCCTCTAGTCTCCACCTCCCAAAGTGCTGAGATTACAGGTGTGAGCCCCTGTGCCCGACTAAAAGTTACTTTTAAAACAATAGAAAAGAGGTTATATTTTTTCTTTGTACTGTTGTCTATTAAAAAGTTTCTGCTACTTGGGAGGCTGAGGCCAGCGGATCACTTGAGGTCAGGACTTCAAGACCAGCCTTGGCAACATAGCAAGACCCTATCACATACAGACACAAAATTAGCATAGTGGCACACACCTGTTGTCCCAGCTATTAGGGAGGCTGAGGCAAGAGGATCGCTTGAATCCAGGAGTTCAAGGCTGCACTGAACTATGTTCACAATATTCTTCTAATTCTTATAATGGCTTTTTAAAACGTCTTTAAATTTGCTGTTTTGCTCCTATGTCATTATTTTGGTTGGCATTTCAGTAAGTTTTTGGCATTCTCAAATTTTATCTAAATGGGTAACTATAAAAATAGAACATAAATCCAAACCTTCATTTTGTTTTTCTCCTAGGCATGAATCATACAAAACTCAGTATAGAGCAATGTTTGTGATGAATTGTTCTGTTAACAAAGAGGAGGTTCTAAGATACAAAACCTCAGAGAACAGGAAGAAGAGGCGGGGCCACAAGAAGATGAAGTCTAGCAATGCAGATGCCACAGAGCAAGCCGAGACAGAAGTGGAAGAACTCTATCACCCAGTCATGTGCACCGAATGCTCCACTGAAGTGGCCGTCTACGACAAGGATGAAGTCTTTCATTTTTTCAATGTTTTAGCAAGCCATTCCTAAACAGTGCATTTAATTAATTGCCCAGTACTGTATATCAGGCAAAAATGGATGGTTATTTTCCTCCTGCTTATTCATATCATTAAGTGATATCAAGATATTATTTGAGGAAGCAGTATTTTATCTTTATGAGAAAGAATAGTTATCAACCTTTATCTCTCCCCCCACCTTTATTTCCCCCTGGTACTGATGGGATTGATAGTCCTTTTTGATGGACATTTGGGAACTGGGACTTTTTATTTATTAAACTTCTTTAAAATGTTCTAGAATTATAAGTTGTTTCTGAGTGTCATTTTTATTTTGCGTATACCTTTGATGTGATTAAAGTGAAAACTGTTTCCTTAATTGTCTATATTTCTTTTGCAAAGATGTATCTTTATTCACCTCCACCCCATACCTTGAAGGGACAGTATTTAGTAACTATTACAATTACATGGAGTTGGTATTGTCAGCTGCTCTGGGGAATAAAGGTCTTTCCCTAAAAAGGATTGTATTTACCAGTATTCTAAACTTAATGAATGTACTTTTTTTTTTTAAGTTGGAGTCTCACTCTGTCACCCAGACTGGAGTGCAGTGGCACGCTCACGGCCACCGTAGCCTCCTGCTGGGCTCCAATGATCTTCCGCCTCAGCCTTCAAAGTAGCTGGAACTACAGACGTGCGCTACCACGCCCAGCTAATTTTTGATTTTATTGTAGAGACGAGGTCTCGCCAAGTTGCCCAGGTGGGTCTGGAACCCATGGGCTCAGGCAATCCACTCGCCTCAGCCTCCCAAAGTGGTGGGATTACAGGCTGTGCCACCGAGCCCAGTGAATGTACATTTTATTTATTTTTTATTTTTTATTTTTTTGAGTTGGAGTCTCACTCTGTCACCCGGACTGGAGTGCAGTGGCCACTCCCGGCCACCGCAGCCTCGTCCCACTGGGCTCTGGCGATCCTTCGGCCTCAGCCTTCCGAGTAGCTGGAACCACAGGCGTGCGCTACCAGGGAAACAAAAAAAAAGTTGCTCAGGGCAAGACCAGGAGAATGGGGAAGGTGGGGGTACAGAAGTCTTGCATTTTTGGATCAAAAACAATACTCAGCATGATGTGGGCAGGTGTACTTGTAAATCACCCATCATGAAATGGGTAAACACATTGAAAGAATTTCCAAAAAAAAATTTTCACTGAAGCTGAATGCAGCCTCTCACAACCATGGTAGCTGGTACACTGATACTGATGGGTTTCTGGAACACTTACCTAGTGGGGGGAGGAGGGGGAAGTCTTTACAAGGACCCTCCCCTGACATATAGCCTGTTGTGCTGTATGTTCTTTTTTTTTCTTTTTCCCAGCTCCTCATTCTCTGAAGCTCTGGAAACTTTGCCCACCTAGTCCTTCCTTACAGGAGCCATTGCCAGAGACTTTTTGAATCATCAATGATTTGAAATAGAAGGAAGCAGGTAGTTAGGGAATGGAAGGAAAAAAGGGAGGCCCCACTTTGTGTCTTATGAAATATTAAGATGCACCCAAATTCAATTTTGATTTTTTTTTTTTAGTTAAATTCTTATTTCATTTTTTTCTTTTTTAGAGACTGGGTCTTGCTCTGTAACCCAGGTAGAGTGCAGTGGCAGAATCATATCTCACTGCAACTTCAAACTCCTGGGCTCAAGCAGTCCACTTCAGCCTCCTGAGTAGCTGGGACTAAAGGTGTATGCCACCATGCCCATCTTTTTTTGTTTGTTTTTGTGTTGGGGGCGTCACTCTGACACCCAGGCTGGAGTGCAGTGGCGAGATCCCAGCTCACAGCAGCCTCAACTACCTGTGCTTGAATGATCCTTCCAGCCGGGCTCGGTGGCTCAGCCTGTAATCCGTGCCTTTGGGAGGCTGAGGTGAGTGGATTGCCTGAGCCTGCGGGTTCGAGACCCACCTGGGCAGCGAGACCTCATCTCTACAATAAATCAAAAAATCAGCTGGGTGG